TTTCCTTAAAGTAGATTTTAAACTTCTTTAGGGCCACACTGTATGTGTTCCTTATCCCAAGAACATCCATCATTGCATGGCTCAGACAGGTGTTTAATAGATAGTTGTTGACTCAGAAAAAAAGAGATAAATATTATTGATCATTTACTAATGTTTTGTAAATGTTCTGGTTGCTGTACTAAGTAAAGGGATTGTTCTCATTTTAAGATGAGGACACAAAGTCTTAGAAGTTAAATTGCCCATCATCACTGGTAAGAGTTAGACCTAGGATTTGAGCCCAGGTAGTTCAGCGAGTCTGGTGTGGTACTGTAGGATAAGCACTGGACTACTAAGCAATAAGGTCAGTGGTTCAAACCCACCAGCCACTCCTCAGAAACCCTATACATGGCTGCTATGAGTTGACACTGACTTGATGGCACTTAACAACAACAGTTTGGGTTCTGAGCCTGCACATGATAAACAGAGAGAGCAAGAGTCAATCATTCAGTCTTCCGGTGAACTGGTAGGACCCAGCACTACCGAGCTTTGGTTTATGATAAAAAGGACCCTTTTCTTTCTCCACTCCTAAAAGTGGGGATACACCAATGTGGTGTTTAAGGAGGAACCTCATTATTGGCCATGACCCTAAGGTAGGATGGATGGGCAACTTTGGATGAAAGGCCACTAGTTTAAAATGATCTTGCTTGGTTTCAATAGCCGTTTAAGAAAAGTATGTATAGCAAAAGGAAGGTCTTGCCTCTAATGTTCTCAAACTTTCTTCTTATGTCTATAAATGATAAACACAGGGCCAAACTTTTGATCACTTACCTTTTTATAGAGTTAGTTTTCTCTTCTTTCTTCTTTCTCTCTGTTTTCCAGATCTCTTCCATTTGAAGCTCAGCTCTCAGATCCTACCCCATATATTCTTTATTTGATTAGCTAGGGATATGTTTTGCCATCAAATCTAGGTTCTCACCATTAGATGTTTAGGAAGATTAGCTTCATCTTTACTCTTATAGTGAAATAAAGTATTAACTCACACGGCACAAAAGGACATGTTTATGGAAAAAATAAAAGCAATATTGACTTAAGTTAAACCTGTAGTACAGGCCTGACCAACAGGGGAACCCCATCAACCAGGAAGCAGTAGTTAGAGATACACTTCTTGCTGTTTCTGGGTGGTCTTGGTCACATACATGTGCCTGCTCAGTGGGTTCTGGAGCAAATAACATATTTTAGTGGTAAAATATATATATATATATATTTTTTTTTTTTTCCTGAAATTGTACTCTTACTCTTTCTGTGTTTTTATCTTGGAAATATTTGGTTGTTTTAATTTTTGAAAAACTATTTATTGTGAATTAAGTGAAGGTTTACAAAGCAGATCATCAGTTTTATATTAAGAAAAAACAACAAAACATACACTTTGCTTCATTGCATGGTTACAATCCCCTCCATGTACCAATAGTTAACAGAATTTACCTCTATTCATTTTAACTTTTGCATTCTTCCCTGTGTCTCCCACTACCTTCATCTTGCCTCTGTTAACCTCCCTCTTGATATGTATTGCCGGTTCTGTCACCCATGTTAACATGTGTCTACCCTCTGTTGTTGTTAAGTGCTGTCAAGTCGGTTGCAACTCGTAGCGACCTGTATAGCGTTTCCAAGGAGCGACTGGTAAGTTTGAACACCAACCTGTGGTTCAAACCCACCTTGCAGTCCAATTCATGGGCATTTAGGCTTTCTCCATCTTTTTTTATATATCTCTCGTAGGCAGCATATTGAAGGATCCTGTTTTCTTATCCATTCTGCTCTTTATGTCTCTTGACTGTGCATTTAATTTATTTACATTCAATGTAATTATCCATAGGTATGAATTGACAGTTGTTATTTTTCAGTGTGCTTTTTTTGTGGTGCTGCTGGATTCTTTGTTACACACCTAATTTTCTATGCTGAGTTCATTTTGCTTGTGAATTTTCTTATCATTTTCATTTGTTAATGTTAATGTTTGCTAAATGTTTCTGATTATCTTTTTTATTTTTATGTGCAGATATATTATTTTCCTTTAAGGTTATATAATTCGTTCATTTTTCCTCCTTGCTTAAAGCAGTCTGTTTTATCTTGAAATTTACTTGACTTCCTTGCCATTTGACAGTTCTGTATCTATACTATTCCCTATTTTTGCTTTGCAGTTGACTGATTATAAATTGCTATCTCTGGCACTCCATTCTCAGTCTTGTAGTTTGCGCTGCTTGAAAAACTTTTATATTTGGATTGAGTTCTGGATGGTATTGTCAGGAGTGGTAATCTCAGGTTGGTGTCTCCTGTTGTTGGTTCTAATTCCAAAGAATGCCCGTTAGCACTTTTTGTAAAATTGGTCTGGTTATTACAAATTCCTTTAATTTCTGTTTATCAAGAAATATCTTAATTCACCATCATACTTGAGTGACAACTTTGCATCTTGGTTGGGAATCTTTTTCTTTCAGAGTTTTGTATGTCATTCCATTGCCTTCTTGCTTTCACAGTTTCTGTTAAGAAATCAGAGTTTAGTCTTATTGGTTGTCCTTTGTAGGCAATTACTATTATTTTTTTTAACCTGAGCTGTCCTCAGGATTTCCTAGTCTTTGATTTTGGAAAGATTGATTATTATATGTCTTGGTGATTTTCTTTTGGCATCTATACTATTTGGCATTCATTCAGCTTATCTTCTCATCTTTCATGATGTAAGGAAAGCTTTCTCCCAACAACTCTTTGACAATCTTTTCTGTACTTGTCTTTTCCTGTTCTGGAATTCTAATCATCTGTAAGTTGTTCCTCTTCATGGTGTCCCACATAACTTTTAGCCTTTCTTCAAATTTTTTCATTCTTTTTTCTGATTGTTCTTCCAGCATACTAGTATTGAGAGATTTATCTTCAAGCACACTAATTCAGATAGCCATTGCTTTGTATCTACTCCTTTGCCCTTTCAATGTATTGTCCATTTCTGAGATCTTAGTATTAATCTTTTGGATTTCTAAATGCAGGTTTTATAATATTTTTAAATGTGTATTTATTTTGTGTTTGTTCTTTTAATGTTTTCCTGAATTCTTCTAATGTTTTTTATTTATTCTTCTTGCTTTCCTCTTTCTGTCAATCCTTTTTTTTTTTTTTTTTTTAAATCATTCTTTTGAATTCTTTTTCAGTTAGTTCTATTACCTTTTGTCCCTCAGAAACATCTTCTGGCTTTCTTCATCTTGGTCATTTGTAGGAGCCATTCTCTCTGTTTTCTTTGTGTGAGTTAAAAATTGTCTGTTGTCTCCGGGCATTGTGAGGTTGTTATATTTGTGAAAATAAAACATGTAGTTGTTGGACCAGGAGGGGAGAAATCTCTGGGAGGCTCTTGCGATTCAAGGAGCTCATGAAGTGGTTGTGGAAGGGATGTAGGCAGCAGAGTTCCTGGCCTTAGATGGAGTTCCTGTTGGCCTCAATGTTCTCTATGTTTAGGGCACTCAATCTGGAAGTAGTTCTTGGGGGCCCTTGATAAGAGGTGATTTCAGTGTCTGTTAGGACTACAGGGAAGCTGGGAGCAGGGTGACTGGTTAAATGCTGGTCTGGTGGCTCTGCAGGTTTTGTAGGTCTGGAGCTGGGCCCACCTGAATTCCGGCACCAAAACAGCACAGCTCCCCCCACCTCACATGGCATGGCTCCCAACCATGCGGCTCAGAACTCCTGGAGTGCAGGGTCTATGCTTGGGGTGTATGAGAGTGGGAGCTGACCATGCTCTGGTCACCAGAGGACTGTGGGAGAAAAGAAGAAATCACATCTTTTCCTTGTGAATATATTCGGACAGGCCTATACGTCCATTGCCAAAGCGGCTCACAAGATGATCAAGCCACATTTGGTCAGTCTCCCTCTCTCGCTGTTCCTGCTCAGCCTTTCATTCTAGCAAGCACTCCATCTACCTGTCTAAACTTTCTTCTGAAGCTCATGGTGCCAGAGTTTTCATCTGTGTCTGTTTTTATATCTTGTATCTTTGTTACAGAGGGTCTGTAAAGTACATCTGCCTAGTCTGCCATCTTGCTGGAAATCCTTACCTTGGAGTTTTGTATATAAATATAAAAGTAAGCACTTTTAAGTATTAACTGTAGGTACAGAAAAGTTGTATCCTTCACAGAGAGCCTCAACACTAAATATAAATTAAAGATAATCCAAATGTTAAATCCTACTATTGATCAACACTGCTCTTTTATTTAGAATACAAAGTACATGTCATCTTGGGGCTGCCTGATATTACTACTAATTTGGTTAATATTTTAAAGATTCCTAGGGATAAAACATTTTCAGATACTATTAGACTATAAGCACTGGACTGCAAGGTGTGTTTAAACCACAAGGTCAGTAGTTGAAACTCACCAACTGCTCCTTGGAAACCCTAGACAGGGTTGCTAGGCGTTATAGCAAACTTAACCGCACTTATCAACAATTAGTTTTATTAATTTTCTTTACTGGAAACAGGAGACACTGGTATGTGGTAGTGAAAAGCACAGTGAATAAGAAATTAGGAGACCTGAGTTCCAGATCTGACCCTGATGTGTGACCTTGGGCACATCTGGCCAGTTTGGGTCAGTTTCCTTGCTGTAGGGAGGGGGTAAGGCTTCTCCTGGCTCCCAAACTCCTCTGGGCTTCTGTGATTCAAGCATACTAGAATTCTTATTGTAATAGTGACCTCTTGTGGGCATCTATCCTTAATCAGTTTTTGGTGGGTTTGGTTTTTTTTTCAATTTGCAAAGTAAACTTTGGATTTTTATTGTTGTGTCTAGTAACTATAGTTCATATTGTTAGGCAAACCTGACTTGTTTTAAAATATAAATTATAATTGGGAATCAGAGGCTAATTAAAATGGCATATGGAACACTCAAATCCCATTTTATAAGCAATTCTCTATGATTTCTTCAGAAACTGTAGACAGCTGACACACATGTACAGAAAGAACAATACTTTGGTTTTTGTACTGAGTTTTTGGTGCACCCTCTTCCTCCCAGGGACCAGGGAAGGCGGCTTGCCCGGGCCTCATCCTGCCCCAGTCGCTCGGACCTCAGCCAACTAGAAACCACAGCAGGTGAGGCATCATGTTCTTAGAGGTCCCCCAGGCCCCTCCTTTGATAGCATCTGTGTTTGTAGGTTAAATGAAGGGAATGAAGATGTCTGATGTCGGTTCTCTGCCTGAAAACACCACAACTTTGTCCAACTTGGTCACCAAGCCAAAACTCACTGCCATCAAGTTGATTCCAACTCAGCAACTCTGTAGGACAGAATAGGATTTCCAAGACTGTAAATCTTTACAGGAAGAGAGAGCTTATCTTTTGCCTCCAGAGTAACTCATGGGTTTGAACTACCAGCCTGTGGTTAGCAGCCTAACCCTCAACCACTGAGCCACTGGGGCTCCTTGATCACAAATCAACTTTTTTTTTTTTTATCATTCTTTTTTTCCGGACCAGTTCTAGCCATACTGGACACTGGTTCCTCCCATGTCTGCATGTAAAGATGGCCACCTTTATGACCTCACAGAAATTTTGCAAAAGTCTTTGGAAATTTGCACAGCTCAACATCAACATGAATTTAAAATTATTGATCACTTACGTGAAGCTATATTAACTATATTAAGACAGCCCTTTGGGGCTTTGAACTGTTTAATTGAGAAAATATGTAACAATATTAATCACAAGCCAGACTGATACATGTACTCCAGCAGTTAGAAAATGAACTAGGATACATTGGTAATATTGAGTGAAATAAGTACAAACAGAATATTGAGGAAGAAAAATAAGTTACAAATACAATGACATACACTGTTTATGGATAGAAATCTTTGTGCTACATATGTAAAATCAAATATAAGCACCCAATTTAGAATGTTGGTTACCCCTGGAGAGAGAAGGAAGTGGGAAATGGGTCATGGAGAGGTATATGGAGAGCTTTAATAGTATCTCTAATGTTTGATTTCATTAAAACAAGGAGGAGGGGTAAAAATATGGCAAACTGATAATAATTGCCCGAAGAGTTTTCTTACTTTTTTTGGAAGATTGAAAATTATATAAAGCCAAACTGATACAAGGGGGCTTCAGAAAGTTCATGGAAAAATGGAATTAAAAGATTGTGAAAATTTTCCCAGGAACTTTTTGAAGTCCCCCCCCCCCCTCAAAACAATATATATTTTATTTTCTTCAAAATGAATTTCTTACTGAATGAAGTGCTATGTGTGTCCAGTGGGAGTTTGTGTAGTACTCAGGAAAATCTTAGCTATACTGACCCCTGAGTAAGTGTTGTTACTAAGCTTTTTACATGTATAGGCTAAAAACAACAGCCTATAAATACCATGTCAACTTTTTCAGTCCAGAATTCAAAGTTGTGGTTAAGAACTATGACCACCGAAACAGCAAAAGCTATAAAAACATGCTGAAACTTTTGCTTGACTTAGTTAATTTCCTGTTGAATCATGTGTATGTATATATATATATACATATATATAAATTTATATTTAGCTACCAGTGAACCTAGATGAAATTGCTTTCTAAAATATTGGTTGTTGCTCAGGACTTAGGAAAACTTTATTTATTTTGGTGGGCCTTAAAGAAATCATAACCTGATTCTGTGCTTCAGTTCTGGAATAACAGGGTTAGTGTATAAATTAGAATTTCTGTTGCGAACAGAGATGCAGGAGGAGTGTGGAATGGGTGGAGATATGAACAGGCAGTAGCAGGACACAACTGTGTTCTTGGGGGTTCCTGAGGGTACGTTAGACACAAACCGTTATACCACAGTGCAGGACTACTGTTCTGAAAAGATCCAAGGCTTGGAAACATTTGGAAGGACCCTTCCTTTCCAAAGGTTAAATAAACGATTCTGCAGTTTCTGACTGGCCCCTGTGAATTCATTTCTTCCTCGTAGAGCTATAAACTTAAAGAACATGGTTCCTAGAAGACGCTGATTTAAACTTATGGGGCGTGGAGTCTGCATTTCTGGTACATTTAAGTGTGTCATCATAAATATTTGATGACTTAGTTGATTAAATTATCATTCTGGCTTTATCATATTTCTGGCTTTTCAAAACCTTTCAAGTATGTTAATTTTATTCCCATACTTTGGACTTTGAATATATTAGTATCTGAGAATATGAGCAGCTAAATTTTTTTATGCTGCTTGAATATTTATGTTTGCTCTGGTAATCCATAGTCATGATTTATCAAAGTTAAGTCAGACTTTCACTCGTAAAAAGTAGAGAGATAAAAACTGGAGATGGTTTTTCTGCAGTCCTTTATCTGTAGTTCTTAGATCCCCGAAGCTCTGAAAGCTGAAAGATTTTTCAAGCTTTTTTAGTGACAGGACCTGATCAGACCAATGGGGGCCAATTGCAGTCTTTACCACACTAGTTGTTGTTGTTGTTGTTAAGTGCCGTTGAGTGGATTCTGACCCATTGCAACTCTGTATAGGGTTTCTGAGGAGAAGCTGGTGAGCTTGAACTGCCAACCTTGCTGTTCAAACGGCTTTGCAGCCTGGCGCATTAACCCACAGCACCACACCAGGACTCTACCACACTAGTGTGAATATTTGTATGTGTGTATTTACTACAGGGAGCTGCCCCAGAAGACCCTACAGGGCTGCATGGAATGTGCAGAAAATGTACCCTGTGGCCTTCCTAAAATCCAAATAATTGTAAATCCCCTAACACTTGTGGCCCCAGGATTTTCAATAAGGGATTGTGAACCTGTACTGATGTGGGTAGGTTTTGTCCTGAAGACAATTTCTGGTGAATTCTTGTTAATGAGTGAGATGGGTTATCTGGAAGCTCACTATTAAGAGCAACTCCTACATCTTTGCCTTTCCATTTATGTTTGTGACTGGAGTGCTCATTGATGCCTTGTGTGTATAGGTACAGGGTGTTAGGAAGGTTTGATGAAAGGCAAGTCTAGATTTGCTGCATCTGAGTGACTCCGCAGTACAGGACATGTTGGGGGACAACCTGTGTGTTGAGGCAACATAGTGAGTTGTGTAATTGCCTTCCTGCTTCTCCGGAGTGACTCCATCACAGCTCTCTTATAGCACATTTCTCAGTGGGTGGTTGAGGATGCACTTCAGACAGCTTTGAATTCAAATGACCTTTTTAGTCTGCACCATTATGGGTGATAAGGAGCTCTGGTAGCGTAGTGGTTATGAATCTGGCTGCTAATCTCACAGTCAGCAGTTTGAAACTACCAGCTGCTCCGCGGGAGAAAGATGAGGCGTTCTGCTCCCGTAAAGATTTACAGCCTCGGAAACCCTGTACAGGGTCACAGTCAGCAGTTTGAAACTACCAGCTGCTCCGCGGGAGAAAGATGAGGCGTTCTGCTCCCGTAAAGATTTACAGCCTCGGAAACCCTGTACGGGGTCGCTATGAGTCGAACCGACTCCTCGGCACATAACAAAAACAACAACATTATGGGTGATGGAGTCCTGGTGTGGCACTGTGGGAGAATGCACTGAACCGGAAAGTGGATTTGAACCACAAGGTCGACAGATCAAACTCAGCAACCGCTCCCCTGAATACAGGGTCATTATGAATTGGGACATACGTGATGCACTTAACAACAATTATGGGTGATACATGGAATTTTCTCCTACCTATGCAGATCATTGAGAAGAGATTTTATTGGATTCCTTGTAGCAGGGGATTTAATTTTAACTGTGTCAAAATACCCATATGGATATTTACTTAAGACCCACACACATATACATTTAATATGTTTTATCTGGGGTTTTTTTCTCTCTTCAAGGTGGGTACAAGTGTGTACAGGTTTTGGAAAGTAAGAAGGACACATAAAAGAAACGCATAACCTGTAATCCCTAATTTATAGTGAACAATTTCACATGGATTTCACCACGCATATGGCTAAAAAAAAATGTCGAAACTGTTCACTACAAATTAGCACAAGTAAGCCATGCTTATCTTGTTTACTGGGTTCTCCATCCCTGTAAGGGATTGCAATTTTGAAAGTGACTGTGAATCTGTAGGAAAGTGCTGTGGGATTAGGAGAGAGCAAGAGATGCCAACTAGACCTTGAAACAGATTCTTTGGTGTAAAACTGTGAAATTATTCACTACTGATTTGTAAGGAAGTCCAAGTCCATGCATACCTTGCTAATTGGGTAATCTGGCATTGACAATAACAGCATCAGCCTATAACAGTATGTCCACTTTACTTCTGATGGGAAAAAAATCCCTCCACATCTTTCTTTTGTTGTTAAGGTGACATCGATTTGGTTCTGACTCATAACAACCCTGTATAGGGTTTTTGAGGAGCAGCTGGTTTGAACTGCCAACTTTGTGGTTAAAAGTCCAACGATTACCCTACAGCGCCACTCCAGACTTTCCTTTTAGACACTATTTTATTAAACACTTTCAAAGTTTTTTTTTTCTTTGCAATTCTAATGTTATCTATTTATTCTATGCTATAGCTACAAAGGAATAACAACTATTTTGCCTTACTGATAATAATTTCAACATTGTTTCAAATTTTAATACTTGATGAAGTGTGCAGGTTCCAGTTTAGAGTTCTGATTTCTTTACATTCTCTTATCTGAGTTTAATGTGGAGTGATTTAAAATGAGGTCTGTAACTCTCATTTGAATTAGTAGCATTTGGGGAACAACATGTAATGGCACCCTGTAGTGTGTAAACCTTAGAGATGAGCAGTAAAGACTTGTGGCTGAACTCCTTTATTCATACCTCTTCTCCTGCTCTGAGTTTCTTTTGCAGTCTCAAAAGCCGACTCGCAAGGAAAGGATGAAGAAAAAGAAGTAGATGAAGTCTTTTGGAACACAAGGATTGTACCGATTTTGCATGAATTAGAGAAGGGTAAAAAAAAAAAAAAAAAACAAGCCAACATCAGTGTTTGTCTTAAATTGAAAATGTGGTGCTACAGGTTAATGTGCTAGACTGCAAAGTTGGTTTGAATCGCAAGGTTGGCGGGTCAAGCTCACCAGCCACTCCTTGGAAACCCTACACAAGGTTGCTATGACTCAGAACTGACTTGACAGCTCTTAACAACAGTAGTTATTTATATGTTCATTTTGCCCTGATATTTGTAGCATACTTTGACTATCATTATCTCTCTGAGTATGTTAAAAAAAAAAAAAAAATCTATTTAGAATAAGCACTGGACTGCTAACTGCAAGGTTGTTCAAACTCTCCAGCCACTCCTTGGAAACATTGTACAGGGGTGTAATGAGTCAGAACCGACTCAATGGCACATACCAACATCAATGTGTTTATATGAAGTCCCTGGGAGGTGCCACTGACTAAGTGCATGGCTACCAACTTAAAGGCTGGTGATTCAAATCTACCCAGAAGGCACCTTAGAAAACAGGCCTGGTAATCTACTTCCGAAAGGTCATAACCACTGAAAGCCTTGTGGAGCACAGTTCTACTCTGACAATACAAATGGGATAGCCGTGAGTAGAAATTAACTCAGCAGCAAATGTTTTTGTGTTTGTTTGTGTTTGTGTTTTATTTTTTAATGTGCTTATTGAATATGGCATGTAAACCTTGTTTTTAGTGAGCAAAATTATATTTTAAGAGTACCAAGACAGCTTAGTTTTTAAATCCCTTTGTAATATAAATGCTCACCTCTTCTGCCTGAGACATTTAAGCTTGAAGTCTTGTTGTTCATGCAAGAAAGTAAAAGATTACAACCGAGTTCAGGCCTCGGAAGCTTTGACTAAGCCTCACAGGCTGGCCTCTGTCACACATGTCCCCATGGTTTTCTAGATCCAAATGTGTGTATGTGTCCTGCTTCTCTAAGGTTGAGCATGTCTGTTGGACATGGACTCCCCCAGCCAGGACCTGGCCTGAATATGCCCAGCACTTGCTGCCCCCTGAAGTGGTCCAGTAAGGAAGGGTCCCAGCAAGGGCGTGGAGAACTCATCTGTGCTTCCCAGACACTCTGTTTCTGAAGTTGTATGTCTGTAGCCCTAAGACGGAGCACAGTGTCTGCCACACAGCTCACAGTAGGCCCTCAGTGGGGTTATTGCGCCGGAACTGCTTGGGTAAGTGAATTACGGCAGTGGCCGTAAGAAGACACTGTAGGAAAACCAGGGTAAACGCCGCCTCCCCAGCAACCCCATGGGGAAGTTGTGCAAAAAAGCCTACTATTCCAAAGTTCAAATGACCTGACCCCAACGTGGCTCCCTGTTAGTGCCTGGCTAAATTCATGGCTGAGATTGGAGCCCTGGACAGGATTTCTGCTCCTGTGTTGCTCCTAAGCGTACGACTTTGGGGGAATCACCCAATCTCCCCCACAGCCTAGACCATCTCCTACGTGCTCTGTGGCTCAAATGTTCTAAGAACATGAACGGATGTTTTCCTGTCTCTGTAGTCAGTGCCTCTCACCCACATATTAAGGTCCTAGGTCAACATGGGGTTGTTTGTAGAAAACTGATGAAGACTGTTCAAAAAATTGCATATACTATATTTTAATACAGCTACATTTCTACTCAGAGTCCTGGTGTAGTGCTGTAGGATAAGCACTGGACTGCTAACCGCAAGTTTGGAGGTTCAAACCCACCAGTCACTCCTCGACAATCCTATACAAGATCGCTAGGAGCCGGAACCAACTCAACGGCACTTAACAACAATAGGAAGTGAGGCAGGCAGACTAGGTAAGAGTTGCTATTGTTAAGTGCCGTCAACTTGGTTCTGACTCATAGCGTTTCTGAGGAGTGGCTGGTGAGTTTGAACCTCTGACCTTGCGGTTCAAACCGACCCTATGGTCGAGTGCTTATCCTACAGCATCACACCAGGACTCCTGGTAAGAGTTAAGAAAGAACAATTATTCGGGACATTGAATGGGAGAATGAGCCGATAACACAAAAACCTATCTTAGAGTGAGGGGTTCTTCAGGATATGGGCCCTGGGGACAGAAGCACAGGGAACTGAGCAGGTTTGGAGTTGGAAAGAAGATTACCAGAGACACCTCTAAGGACAGCAAATGCAGCAGCAGCCAGTGGACTTCTTGAGATTATTTTCTTTATGTCTTTTTTAATTGTGGCATAATTTCAGACTTACAGAAATGTTGCAAGAATAGTACAAAAAAAACTTTGGGAGCCTTTGAGTTTTGTGGTCTCATAGGTTTTCTACCTTTCACAGTAGGCCCACAGTAGGCGTTAGTGCATGGGATCTCCTTGGATAAGTAAGCCAGCACACTAGCCACAAGAAGACGTCTTGACCACGTTTTTATCATTCATTTTAGTGGAAAAGACTTGGGCTTTCCTTCTCTGGCAGGTTTCTGCCGCACGCAAGTTCCAGATTTCACAGGTTTTACTGTAATATAAGAATCTGTATACTCTTCACCCAGATTCCTTAAATATTAATATCTTACTATCTTTGCTTTATCATTCCACTTCCTCCTTTTTTCCTACTCCCTACACATACACACAAGGAGCTCTGGTAGCGTAATGGTTACAAATCAGGCTGCTAACCTCCAAGTCAACAGTTCAAAACTATCAGCCGTTCTGTAGGAGAGAGATGAGGCTTTCTGCTCCTGAAAAGATTTACAGCCTTGGAAACCGTATACAGGGTCGCTATGAGTCAGAATTGACTCTACGGCACACTACCACCACCGCCACACATACACAGATTTTTGCTTGCTTGTTTTTTTTAGCCATTCAAAATTAAGTTGCAGACATGAAACCCTACTTTGGCATGAATTTTTTTTTTGTTTTTAAGTATGATGTATTTGCCAATTACGGTTGATATAATACTATACAAAACTTCTTCAGATGATGGTAATTATCCCAACAATTTCCCCATAGGAACAGAAAATACTGGATCACAGTTGATTTTATTTGTCCTGTCTCTTTCATGGTCTTGACATAGCAGTACAGGCAAATGATTTTATAAAATGTCCTGCAATTTGGGTTTATCTGGTATTTCCTCATGATTAGATTCAGGTTAGGCACATTGGCAGGTTCTGTGCCCTTCCACGAATGCCCATTTCCTACATTACTGTTGATGTTCACTTTGATTGCTTGGTGAATGTGGTGTCTGCCAGATTTCTGTACTGTAAAACTCCTAACTTTCTTTGGTAATTTGTAAGTATTTTGTGGAGAGAAGGTACTTTGAGACTATTTACAGTCCTGTTACTATTCCTCAAGCTTCTTGATGAAATCTGTTACTTCACAATAACAACAACAAAAGACAGTCTTTTGTTGTTGTTATTGTGAAGTGCAGTCAAGTGGGTTCCAGTTCACAGCAACCCTGTACAGGGTTTTCAAGGAGCGCCTGGTGGATTTGAACTGACGACTTTGCAGTTAGCAATCTGGTGCTTATCCTACAGCACCACACCAGACCTCCACACTGTGTTTGTTGTTGTAGTTGTTGTTAGTGCCATTGAGTCAGTTCCGACTCAGAGCTACCCTATATAACATTTCTGAGTAGCGACTGGTGAGCTTGAACTGCCAACCTTGTAGTTCAAACCGACCTTGCAGTCCACAGCACCACATTATATTAGCCTCTTGAAAATGTTGATAACTCTCAGATTCAAACTGATAACAATCCAGTTGAATTCATTTGTTCAATAGTTTGACAATGAGCCTCCCCTTTCTAAATTTTCCTTTAAGCTGAAATAACCACTATTGAGTAGAACTCACCAAGCTGGAGAGTTTGTGGAAGGAAGTGTTTGAAAAATACCTTGAAGACCACCCGCTGCCAGTGAGCGGCCCATAGCCTGGACTTATGGTTTATGAAGAAACTGCCAGTCACAGAAGAATAAAACAACAAAACAAAGTCTTTCTTACAATAGAATTCAGGTTTTTCCCTTTATTTAAAGTCCGTCTAAGTCATTTCCCATCAATTCATTTATTTAAGTGCATAACTGAAAGGCATTGAAGGTTACTTAGCTATTGAGGTTTAAAATTTGTTCTTAGATGTTATTGTTGAAAAGAGCTAAAAATGGCCTGAGTCATTTCCTTCTGCAGGAGCACACTTCCTCTGTGGGCTTTTCAGCACACATTATGGTATTTAGTTAAGATTGGTTTCCTACTTTTAAATTTTGTGACGGGTCTATCAGAGACCGGTTTTTCCCCCAACTGAAAGACTTTTACCTTGGATTCTTAGCATCCCCTGTATTTCTACTTTATGTGCTTTTAGCTCATGTATATCTATTAGTATAGCTACCACTTTGAAAAATCACTCTCACCAGACTAATTATAAAATAAAATGCTTGAAGTTGCGAAGATTCCCAACTATTCTTTTGATACCCCTCTTATCTAATAGCCACCCTAAAAATGGCAGATTTGGTGAGATTTTGTTCCATTTGAGCTCATTTTCTCAGGTAATGAGAAATGGAAAAAATCTTGGTCATTATTTTCATCAGTAGATATGTTAGATGATGCATATGTATCGAATTATGTTCTATCTTCTCATGGTATCACACATTGTTGATACAAAGATACATAAGGACAGCTCCTACTCATTTATTTAAGGGCATTAGACATATAATACAACACACACACACACACATATATATATATATATATATATGAAAAATAAGTAATACAAGGTAGCATCTGTTGAGCAAGTTCAGAGGAGATTACTGTGGAACTGTGCATCTTTTCTAGAGCTGGAACATAAAAAGAGCTTCAGAGGATCCAAATCAGTAGGAACGAGAATAAGAGAACATTCCAGGCCAGTGGAACCATCCTGCAAAGGGTTAGAGGTGGAGATAAAGCAGTATCTTTTCATAAGACTGAACAGAGAGCACTGGTTGAGATGAAAGGACTTTGGACTAAAGGAGACTTTCTGAAATAAGTCATGCTATCAATCTTCAGTATACCCTGCAAGACTGTGTATTGTATCTGTAAACTGACTTAGTAAATAAGTCACCGTGGTAGGAGACGGATCAAAGTAATGAAAAAAATCAAGTAGATGGAAGTGGAAAAAGAAGGAGCAAATAATCGTTCAGGAACTTGAGGACAGAATAATTATGGGACGTTAATTTATACTGTCTATGTTAGATACACTTTGACCCTGAATATTAAGTGTTACTTTACTCTCTTTGTTCTTCTAACAGAAGAAAACATTGAAACCATTTGTGCCGCTTGCACACAACTGCATCGCGCTTTAGAGGAAGGAAACATGCTTGGAAATAAATTTAAGAGAAGAAGTATTCTCCTGAAGACCCTTTATAAACTAGTTGATGTTGGTTCAGACTTGCTCAGCCTTAAACTTGCAAAAATTATTCTAGCAGTAAGTTTTACTTCCCTCTGGTTTAGTAAATTATAGCACATTAAAGCTTTTTTTTTTTTTTTTTTAAATTCCCTATTGGTAAATATTATAAACAAGATTAGAAATGTCATGCATTTGTTTAGAATCTTAAAAGTAAATAACAATCAGGCATTCTCGAATTTAGTTAGAAAGGGCTATCTAAGGAACTAAGCTGAGTACATAGAAAATGTTCACACAAACGCTTCCATTTGGAGTAAGACTGGGTTTCTTTAAAAACAACTAACAATAGGCAAATACGTTCAAAACTGTTGCTCAAGTAATTTGACTAGAGATCAGTATCAGATAGTGCAGGCTGTGGTTCCTGTCTTCTGACTTCTGCTGGCTGCAGGGCGCTCTCACAATATTTAACAAATACTGTAAGGTGAGACAATGGCCAGGTGCCTTGTGAACAGCTGCATGTGGTCATGGGAAAAGGGTCCATACCTTGGAGATTGTAGAAGGCCCCCTGAAGCATTAGAAGAAAAAAAACAGACACCAAATAAAAGTCTGTAGAAATGTAGTCTCAAACAAAATGCTGTCATTGTTTGAGGGGAGCACTTGTTGTCAAAGCCATAAACAGTTGGAAACCAAAAGATAAGACACACTTATTATAGAATGTTCTAAGAGAGCCGCTAAAACGAATGAAGCTTTGTTTACCTGGTTTCCTAAGAGTAAAAGCTTTCATGTTAACACCCCATAATTCATGTAATTTTAAATCTTACAGTACACATTGTAAGCATACTACTAGTCAGTTAGTGAGAGCATCCACAGTTTGCATTCTGATAACGATGCCTTTCATAAAACAGAGTATCTTACAATCTTACACGTAATTTTTTGAAGAAGTTGCATCCTTATTTAGATGTCATCCAACACAATTCAGTTTGTTTTTGTTGGTTTTTTTTTTAATGTATATGTGTCTCAGAAAGCACCATTTTTTTTTAATTAGTGATTTCTCTGGTAGTTCATTCCTGCTCCCCTCCACCATTGATGATACTTGATCAATTAGCTTTAATTAATTAAAAAGAAAAAAACAGGATTTAAAGTAAAAAAACAAAACAAAACATTAGGAGAAAATTAAGAAGTATCTGCTCGCTTGCCCTCTTCCCTCATTAACCTTGGATTCAGTTGCCTTGGGGCAGAATCCAGACTCTTGGCTGCCCAGTGCTTGCTTTTCCTTTTTCATCTGGGTCTGAGAAATGTTGGTCTGAATATACGAAGCCAAAAAAAAACCGCATTTTTGTTAGAGAAAAATGTCATGAACTTGTTAATGTTTTGCAGAGAAAATATCATCTTGGTTGCTAGGGTGTCGATCAAATTAATTATATCCATGGCACAATTTAACTATTTTAGGGCAAAAGGGTAAGTGATCTTCCAGGCAGTGAACATATTCTCTGAACTAAAACATGTGGTTAGATGAAACCCTCTGCCTGGTGCCAAGAGCCTTGCTGAGTCGGGCCAGACTAGGTTCACCCCAAAGTGCAGAGGTGGGTGGGCCTTCCTTTCTGGTTAATTTAGAACCACAAGGTCAGAAGGAGCCCTCAAAGTCTTCAAGTCCAACTTCCCATCCACTGCCTGAATCTCTGGTTACATTCCAGCAGAGTGTTGTTTAACATAGGCCTTGGAGATAGAACTCTAGGTAAATTTCAAAACAACCAGAGAAAAAACTTTGAAGAAGAAAAATAAACAAAATCCAAAGAGCCAAGGGTGAGTCAAAAATTATCTGCACTCTGACTATATTAAAATGTCCGTCCATCTCCACTGCTGGTGACAATATTGAGCTTGCATGTGAAATGCTTCTGTCGAATAGATGAGTGACAGTGACTTCTGTGGCAAATCATTTGCATATCAACCATGGCTCTGCCTATGAAACAATCCACCACAAACTTGGGTTTCAAAAAGTTTGTGTGAGATGGACATCTGCAAACAAAATTGGGACTGATATGCGAAGGAAGCTTAAAGTTTCTTTAAAAAAAAATCATTACTGGTGATGAGACATGGCTTCACTATGAACCTGAGAGTAAACGGCAGCGTATGCAACGGAAACATCCTCAATCGCTGACCAAGAAAAAGTTCAAAAGTCAACCATTAGCTGGAAAATTGATGCTTACAGTTTTCTGAGATTCTCAAAGGCCAGTACTGCTGGAATACTTGGTATAGTGAAGATCTGAAGCCTAAATTTGGGATTAAATGCCAAGGCCTGCTATCCAAGGGCTTTGTGATCTTGCATGACAATGCATGTCCACACACCTCTGCCCACACTGTTGACACTGCAAAAACTGCATTTTGAGGTGTTAAAGCATCCTCCCTGTAGTCCTGGTCTTGCTCTATCAGACTATCACCTGTTTGGTCTCCTAAAAGTAGCCCTTTGAGGATGAAGACTCACCTCTGATGAAGAGTGAAGACAGAGGTGCATTCATAGCTCGCAGCTCAGCCTAAGACGTTTTTAAATTAGGGACTATGAAAGCTTGTTGACAGATGGACAAAGTGTATTGAAAAGCAAGGAGATTATGTTGAAAAATGATGTATTTGCCCTTTCTAAAGGTTGATTAAAATGCTACAACCAAAGTGCGGATAATTTTTGACTCAACCATGTATATGAGAATAAACATTTTAATAAGTTCTTTCTGCCAGTATCTAATTTTCCATTTTAATATTGCAACTCAGACACTTGAAATTATTTGAAGTTTAGACATTTCTGTGAACTTTGTTAGTTCTGGTTAATGCATTCTGTGGTTCATGGGACTTGCCAGATAGCCGTTCCAACTTTTATCTTTTTTTGTTGAAAAATCTTAAGAAAAACCTCTAAGCCTACATTAAGTTATTATTTTAAAAGAAAATACAAACATACATGCAGTATGAATGCAATTTTATTCAGGAGAGGGGAAATCCAGTACACAATCCACGACAGGAAAAAAATGGAAAAATCCTGATATGTCAGCAGTGATTATGCATAATGTTCTTAGCCTTATGGTTGATTCAAAAACTTTTAAGTTGCCAGAAATTCTTAAAGTAGCTGTTGTTGGGAAGTGCCGTCAAATTGGTTTCGACACATGGCGATGCTGTATAGGGTTTCCAAGGAGTGACTGGCGAGCTTGAACCACTGACCTTGGAGTTCAACTCGACCTTGCAGTCCAGCACATTAACCCGCAGCACCACACCAGGACTGTAGACTACTGTATTTAACAGAAGAGGGAACTACCCTATTAGCTGGTATGGCACTGTAAGATAAGCTTAGTACTGCAAACCACAAGGTCGGTAGCTCAAACCCACCAGCTGCTCCTTGGAAACCCTGTATGAGTCCCTGTAAGAACTAACTCCACGGCACTTAACAACAACAACCCTTCTGCAAGAGCCTACTTTGTGCTTGAAAGTTCTCTTGAGAAGTAAATGAAATGGCCAAGCCCCTGCCCTGGATGACCTGGCTGTAGCAGCGAAGACAAGACTATAAACAAATACATAGATATAGTGCTAGAGAGGGCTACTGGGTGTTGGGGAAGAAGATAAAGCAGAGTAAAGGGGGTGGAAATGATGGGAGAGGGAGCTGTTTTATAACAAGTAGTCTGTATTCCTCTCGTCGAATTTAACATTTTATTATCTGTTCATGTCTCAAACTGATAAATAAGATTTATAGTTATTCCTGGAGAAGATACAGGAAATTGCTTTAAATGTAAACTTTCTTTAATAGTATGTATAGGCATCTTTTTATCTTTTTCAATGAAATCTCTGACAGTAGGCTCACTAAATACTTACGAATCAAACAACATGGAATGGAACTTCAAAAATATGCATGACAAATTATCTTTTTCTGCCAACTAGAAACTAATTTAAAAATATTAAAGATAATTTAAAATAGTTTTTAATGATTTGAAAAACTCTATAATGCCATCATAAGGAACTCTGGTAGTGTAGTGGTTACAAATTGGGCTGCTAACCTCAAGGTCAGCAGTTCAGAACTACCAGCAGTTCTGCAGGAGGAAAATGAGGCTTCCTGTTCCCATCAAGATTTACAGCCTCGGAAACCTTATGCAGAGTAGCTATGGGTCGGAACCGACTCCACAGCATAGAACCACCACCACCACCATAATACCATCCTTGTCATATATAAACATAATTTTACTTTGCTGCAAGGAGATCACAAAATAGTTTCATCCAAAGTAGGTTCATGTTTTTCCCTTTAAACATACTGTTTGTTCATAGTTAGAATTTTTGTGATTGCTTAATAGTAATAACATTGATGTTCCACAGGTTATTTAAATTTTTCCCAATATCGGACATTTGGGATGCTTTTATTTTTTTACTCTTTTGGATAAACTGACACCATTCGTCTGTCAGTTCATTGTACTCTGGTGCCTTATGTGTTGCTGTAATGCTGGAAGCTATGTAAGTGGTATTTTAAATACCAGTAGGGAGCTTCCAGACAGACAGACTAGGAAGAAGGAAAGGCAGAGCACTATAACATTGTCAGATGTATGTGCCAGAAGATGTGCCTCTCAAGTTGGAAGGCATTCAAAGTACAGTTGAGGGAGAGCTACCACCTCAAAGTAGAGTTGGCCTGAATTATGTGGCTAGAGCAAAGCTTTCTGGACCTTCATTTGCTGATGGGACACAACTGAAAAATGAGAAGAAATAGTTGAAAACATTCATTACTAGTTAGAACATGGACTATCCAAAATATGAATCCAGGAAAATATGAACTGGAAGTCATCAAAAATAAAATGGAACACATAAAGATAGATATCCTAGGCATTAGTGAGCTGAAATGGACTGGTATTATCCATTTTGAATCAGACAATCATGGTTCACTGTGCTGGGTACAACAAAGTGAAGAATGGTGCCATATACATCCTCAAAGAGACCATTTGAAGATCTAAAAGTACAATGATGTCTGTGATAGGACAATATATGACTACAAGGAAGATCAGTTAATACGACTATTATTCAAATTTATTCACTAGCCACTAAAACCAAAGATGAAGAAATTGAAGAATTCCACCAACTGCTTCAGACTGAAATTTATCAAACATGCAATCCAGATGTGAAGGTTGGAAACAAAGAGGAAGAATCTGTGGAGGAAAAATATGCCTTTGGTGATAAAAATGATGCTGGAGATCCCATAATAGAATTTTGCAAGACCAGTGACTTCATTACAAATATATTTTTGACAACATAAAGGCAGCTATACATGTGGACCTCACCACATGGAATACACAGTGTCTTAATTATCCAGTGCTGCTGTTAACAGAAATCCCACATGTGGATGCTTTTAACAAACAATACTTTATTCTCTCACAGTTTAGAAGGCTAGAATCCAAATGTAGAGTTCCAGCTCTAGGGGAAGGCTTTCTCTTTGTTGACTCTGGAGAAAGGTTCTCATCTCCTTTCAGCATCCATAGGCGCAATATTCCTTGAAGAGTTCCATGAGTCTTGGCATCAGTCTTCCTTTGAACCTAGGATTTTCACAGTACAGGGACCCCAGATCCAAAGGTGCCCTCTACTCCTGGGTCGTCTTTCTTGGCGGTAGTAGGTCCCTCTGAGCCCCACTTGCCCATTGCTTTATCTCAAAAGAAATTGACTCAAGATACAACCTAATCCTATAGATTGTATCTCGCATCATAAAACAACATACAGGATAATTACATCTTAGCAGGACTGACAGACTAGGAAGAAGGAGAGGCGGACCACTGTTACATTATATTAGATCTCATCTTATTAGATCGTTGTTGTTAAATGCAGTTGAATTAGTTTTGATTCATAGTGACCCTGTGTAAGGGTTCCATGGAGCGGCTGATAGGTTTGAACTTCTGGTTCAAACTGACCTTGCAGTCCAGTGCTTTATCCTACAGTGCTGCACCAGAACTCCTTAGATTACTTCATCTTAACTGCCAAATCATTAAGAATCCAGGCCCAGCCAAGTTGACACAAAACCTTATTTATCCCACACAAGAATCAAATTGACTACATCGATGAGAAGAGACAGTGGAGAAGCTCAGTATCATCAGCCAAAACAAGGCCAAGAGCTGTAGGATTGTTAACTACAAGGTCAGTGGTTCAAACCCACCAGCTGCTCCTCAGAAACCCTATATGGGTTGCTATGAGTGGGAACCAAGTTAACAACAACAATCAGTGTTCATGGAAGCAGCGGTCCAGAAATCAAACGACGTACTGCATTAGGCAAGTCTGCTGCAAAAGACCTCTTTAAAAAGTGTTAAAGAGCAAAGATATCACTTTGAGGACTAAGGTGCACCTGACCCAAGCCATGGTATTTTCAGTTACCTAATATGCATGCGAAGGTTGGACAATGAATACGGAAGACCAGAGAAGCACTGATGCATTTGAATTATGGTGTTGGCGATGAATACTGAAAGTACCGTGAAAAAGAATAAATCTGTTTTAGAAGAAGTACGGCCAGATTGCTCCTTAGAATCGAGGATGGCAAGACTTTGTCTCTTATACTTTGGATATGTTATCAGGAAGGACCAGTCCCTGGAAACAGACAACATGTTTGGTAAAGTGAAGTGTCATGAAAAAAGAGAAAGACCTTCAACAAGGTAGCTTGACACAGTGGCAGCATGACAGTGGCATCCAATGTAACAACTGTGCAGATGGTGTAGGATCAGGCAGTGTTGCATTCTGTCCTGCATAGGGTCACTATGAGTTGTAATCGACTCGATGGCACCTAATAACAACAATAACATTTTGGAAAAATACACAGCAAATTTAGAACACTTGACTCATTTAGTCATCTGCCCTCTGCTATTAAAGTATACTTCTTCATTGCCCTAAGCTTAATTTACGTGCTTATTTTTGTGATTTGCAAATTACCATTAAACTTTGAACATTACTTGTGATTATCTCAACGCATTCTAGAAATAACCTTTAAAAATAAATATGTATTTGTACTATCTAATCAAATAGTATTACATTTTTAATTTTATTTTCCACAAATGATAGAGGGGAGTGTGTTTCCCTTTTCTTTGATTTTCTTCACCGACAATACATAATCTTTTCTAAAATAGTTTAATCTAAAATCCTATTATACCTCTTCTTTCACTTTTGTGTTTTTAAATGATAACTTATTTAATTTTATCAACATCATCACCCCCATTCTTCCTCATATTTTCTTTAAAAGGTAATCAATAAGCATTCATGTGATACTAAATGAATGAAATGGTGATTATTAAGATTTATCATAAAGATCATTTATATTGTGTTTCCTATCATTGAGTTACATACCAGAGTTGGCAAATATGCTGCCTGCACTTTTGAAAGTTGACTTCTTTAGAACATCTATTTATTCTCTGAGAATACTCTTGGTGCATTTTAAAAAACAGATGTTTGTGTTTGAAAAGTTATGGCATGCCTTTGTTGCCCTCTGCAACCAAAATGTGTTTTCTTCCCCACCCCCCTGCAGCTTAAAGTGAGTAGAAAGAATCTTCTCAATGTCTGCAAACTTATATTCAAAATTAGCAGGAATGAGAAGAATGATTCTCTGATTCAAAATGACAACGTTCTAGGTGAGTAGCATTCAGCTATACCTCTGAGCCAGTGTTTACTTGAATGCAAATGGAATGTTTGCAGAGAAAGTTATCATTAATGGTAGTTGGAATATTGGATTTTCTAGTAAAATGCAGAAATAATGTGATACCTATTTTTGCTCTGTCCTCCACATTTAACACATTCAGTTTAATGCAGCCTAGGCGGGTAGTCAGCCATGTTTGTTCCTTTTCTTTTTAATGCCTCTAATAACATTATGTGACTTTTAATGCCTGTGATAGCATTATGTGACAAAGTTTTCCCTATTTAAAAATTCATTTCCTGTACTTGCATTTACTATTAGAAAAAATTCAGTCAATAGTATATAACATCATTGAAATTTTAATTTTTTAAATACATACTGCTGCTGTTAAGTACTGTCGAATTGGTTCTGACTCATAATGACCCTGGATAAGGTTTCCAAGGAGTGGCTGGTGGGTTTGAACCACCAACCTTGTGGTTAGCAGTCCAGTGATTATCCTTGGGTGTCACACCAGGACTCATTTGATATGCTCCTGTTAAGTGCCATGGAGTCAGTTCTGACTCATAGTGACCCTGTATAGGGTTTCCAAGGAGCAGCTGGTGGGTTTGAATGCCGACCTTGTGGTTCACAGTCCAGTGCTGACCCTACAGCGCCATACCAGGAGTCTTTATGAGGCATCTCTAGTGTAGAAGTTTACCATCTAAGTGTTTTAGATGTGTTTCCAATACATACCTGGAGGAGAAGTTTTATTATGGTCTGTCTACCTGGCTAGTAGGTTCCTGGGTGGTGTGAATGGTTTGTGCTCAACTACTGGCCTAAAGGTTGTCAGTTCAAACCCGTCCTGGAAGAAAGACCTAGTGATACGCTTCTGTTAAAATTTCAGCCAAGAAAAAGCGATGGAGCAATTCTAATCTGAAACACATAGGGACATTGTAAGTCAGAAGTGACTCATAGCAACAGGCTTGGTGGGGTTTTGGTTTGTTTGCCTAGCTAGTGGTTATGAGTAGGGCTGCTAACCTCAAGGTCAGCAGTTTGAAACTACCAGCCGTCCCATGGGAGAAAGATGAGGCTTTCTGCTCCCATAAAGATTTACAGCCTTGGAAACCCTGTACAAGGTCGTGGTGAGTCAGAACCAACTCCCCGGCACACCTCCACCAGTCATGCCTAGTTCAAAATCCTCAAAGATTAACATGCTCAATAGTTACCTAAATAGAATTCTTTATATGAATTAATGTTGCTGATATAAGCAAAGACAATAACATGGAAAGCACTTTGGATCCTCTTTTTAGCAATATGGGACAAATTCTCTCTCTCTCTCTTTTTGAAACATTGCTGGACAGAGGTAAAACCGATGAAAGAAATGTCTAATTTGAATTGGTTAATTGGCTTTAAAAAAGAAAGATCTTGACAGTGATCAGAATGCAGTAAATATGAGCTACGTGTGACCAAACCTTATAGACACCCAGAATCGGGCTGCTAATCTCATGGTCAGCAGTTCGAAACTACAAGCTGTTCCACGGGAGAAAGATGAGGCTTTCTGCTCTCATAAAGGTTTATAGCCTCGGAAACCCTGTACAGGGTCACTATGAGATGGAACCAACTCCACGGCACATAACAACAGCAACAACTTCTTCAGTCTGAAATTGATCAAACATGCAATTAAGATGTATTGATTACTTGCAATTGGGATGTAAAGGTTGGAAACAAAGAGGTAGTTGGAAAATATGGTATTGGTGATAGAAATGATGCTGGAAATCCCATGATAGAATTTTGCAAGCCCAATGACTTCTTCATTGCACATATCTTTGTTAAACAACATAAAAGACGACTATACACATTTACCTTACCAGGTGGAATAAACAGAAATCAAATTGGATGTCAGAAGAGATTCTGAAATTTGCTTTCCAGCATAGAGATGCTAAAGCAAATGGAACAAATGAAGAGATAAAGCGCTAAACAGACAGAAAATTTCAAAGGTCAGCTCGAAAAGACAGAGTCAAATATTGTAATGGAATGTGCAAAGATCTGGAGTTAGGAAACCAAAAGGGAAGAACATACTCAGCATTTCTCAGCCTGAGGGAACTGAAGAAAAAATTCAAGCCTCAACTTGAAATATTGAAGGATTCTATGGGCATAAATGAATGATGCAAAAAGTATGAAAGGAATACACAGAGTCACTGTACCAAAAAGAAATGGTCAATGTTCAACCGTTTCAAGAGGTAACATGTGATCAAGAGTCAATGACACTGAAGGAAGAAGTCTAAGGTGCATTGAAGGCATTGGCAAAGAACAAGGCACCAGGAATTGATGGAATACAAATTGAAATCTTTCAACAAACTGATGAAGCACTGGAGGTGCTCATTTATCTATGCCAAGAAATTTGGGAAACAGCTACCTAGCCAACTGACTGGAAGAGATCCATATTTGTGCCATTCCAAAGAGAGGTGACCCAACGTGATGAAGAAATCATCAGACAATATCATTAATATCTTATGCAAATAAATGTTTGCTAAAGATAATACATGACTGCAACAATACATTGACAGAGAACTTCCAGAGGTTCAAGTCAGAGTCAGAAGAGGACATGGAATGAGGGATATTATTGCTGTCATCAAATGAATCTTGGCTGAAAGCAAAGAATACCAGAATGCTCACCCATGCTTTATTGACTATGCAGAGGCTTTTGATTGTTTGAAACATGATAAGCTATGGATGATATTGTGGAGAATAAGTATTACGGAGCACTTAATTGTGCTCATGAGGAACCTGTGCATAGACCAAGAGGCAGTTGTTTGAACAGAACTAGGTAACACCTAATGGTATCAAATTAGGAAAGATTTGTGCCAGGGGTGCACTCTTTCCCATACTTACTCAATCTGTATCCTGAGCGAATTATCTGAGAAGCTGATTATTTGAAGAAAAATGTGGCATCAGGATTGGAGGAAGACTGATTAGCAGCCTGTGATATGGAGATAATACAACCTTGCTTGCTGAAAGCAAAGAGGACTCAAAATACTTACTGATGAAGATCAAAGACCACAGCCTTCGGTATGGATTGCATCTCAATTTTAAAAAACCAAAAGTCCTGACCACTGGACCAATAAACAACATCCATAAAAGTGAGGAAAAGATTGAAGCTGTCAAAGACTTCATTTTGTTTGAATCAACCATCAACACTCCTAGGAGCAGCAGTCAAGAAAGTAAATGACATATTGCATTAGGTAAATCTGCTGCACAAGACCGCTTCAAAGTGTTGACGAGCAAATAATGTCAGTTTGAGGACTTAAGGTGAGCCTGACCCAAGACATGGTATTTTCAGTAACCTCATATGCATGTGAAAGCTGGACAGTGAGTAAAGAAGGCTGTAGTAGAATTGATGCATTTGAGTTACAGTGTTGGAGGAGAATATTATAAGTACCATGGACCTCCAAAAGAACAAACAAATCTGTGTTAGAAGTGCAGCCAGAATGCTCCTTGGAAGCCAGGATGGCCCAACTTCATCTCTCATACTTCAGACATATTATCAGGAGGACCCATTCCCTGGAGAAGGAGTTCATGCTTGGTAAAGTGGAGGGTCAGAGAAAAAAAGGAAGACCCCCAATGAGATGGATTAGCACAGTGGTGGCAACAATGGGCACAAAAATTGTAACAACTGTGAGGTTGGCACATGACCAGGCAGTGTTTTGTCCTGTTGTGCATAAACTCTCTGACTGGATGTCACCTTACAACAACAGTGGTGACTGAGATTGGTTTTTCAAGTTCTTGTTATAATTAATCTCCCAATCACATAAATATAATTGGAAAGGTTTGTGGAAATTTAATTTTTGATTGCTTCAATTATTATTTTATACTAACTCAAAGATTTGCAACCGAAACTGAAGGTTGGTAGCTACTGGTAAGAATCAAGGAATCACTTTTAATTAAAAGCATACTTTTTCACTTATAAATTAATATAATCCCATCGGTTTGTTGTCATTTTTATTACAGAGATTTGTCTTCACTGAAAATAAACTTTTCTCTTAAGCCACTTGAGTAACCCTTAATATGTATTTGATTGTATGTGCCAGCTAATGTCTTTTACAAGTCCTGTCTGATGTTCACATGCAGGTGCCTTAATATATTTCTCTCCAGCTGTTATACTTAGGCACTGTACTCATTCATCTTTCTGACAGAGTCATTACTGGAAATTCTGAGCAACGAAGACCTGCAAGCAAACACCGAAGCTTTTTTGTACTGTATGGGAGCTATAAAGTTCATTTCCGGAAACCCGAGATTTCTTAATGAAATGATCAACCAAGGCGCTGTGGAAATATTGATGAATCTGATAAAGCAAATAAATGAGAGTACCAAGAAATGCGGTGTGTGTTTGCCTAATTCAGGCCACTTGCTAGTCCAGGTAAGTATTTTCCTTGCAATGATTAAATATATTCAATTCGTTTGCATGTTACCTAATACCAATTCTATGGAGCCCTGGTGGTTCATTGCTTTAGTGCTTGGCTGCCAACCAAAAGGTCATCAGTTGGAACCTAGCAGCTGCTCTGTGGGAGACAGGTGTGACAGTCTGCTTCCACAGGGAAACCCAATGGACCCTTCTACTCTGGCTATTAAGTTTCCTGTGAGTCAGAATCAAGTCTACAGGGACAGGACTGCTCCGTGGTTAAATGTTGTTGTTAAGTGCTGTCAAATTGGTCCTTACTCATAGTAACCCTGTATAGAGTTTCCAAGTAGTAGCTGGTGAACTTGAATCGCTGACCTTGTGGTTCAAACCGACCTTGTAGTCCAGGGCATTAGCCTATAACGCCACACCAGGAATCGACTGCCAACCAAATGCTGGTGGTTCGAACCATCCCAATGGCTCCCATAAAGATATGTTGTTGTTGCAACCTGTTCTGTCACAAGGCGTTGCTATGAGTCTGAATGTGGCACCTAACAACAACACACACACACACTAATTACCATTTAAAAGAATGGTGCAGGAGAAAGGCCCTTACACCAGGTAGTGAGGCTGGGCTTCCTGGATCAAGAGGGGTAGCCCCGCCCCTTCTCAGTGGAGCATGAGTCAGTCAGTTTCCTTGTCATTTTACAGAACTGCTCTCCCTGCGTCCTGTAGACGTCCATTTCCACTGCCCTGCAGAGAAAACCGACTTGGAAGATGAAAAAGTAGCACTTCTCTGCAAAGGGATTCCACATTATGGCCAGATACAGGGTTGTGAAAACGGGAGATAGTTCAACCTGTGTTGAAAATCTTGTATCCACAATAAAACAACAGGATTTAATGACTTTGAGTGGGCAGGTATTGAAAGTGTGAGTGAATAACATGTAGCCCGGAGAAAACCAGGAACAGAAAGTAACACAACTGAGTACATTGAATTTGAGCAATGCAAGAAGAACAATTTTGTTGTGTTAGAGTTCTGTTCCTTTTTGTGTGGCAGATCAAATTTCCTAGTTACATTATTTTCACTGGCGCTGCTTCAGTCTCATGTTCTTTTTTAGATGAGATTTTACTCTTTAATAGCATTTGTATATCAGATAATAATATCTTTGATGTAATAATTCATGAGGTTTGAAATGTGCTTGTCAATTACTGAGGATTGATCTCACACACAGTGCTCTTAGCCTTTGGGAAAGTGTGTCAAAAATTAGATTTAGTCCCTGCCTTCAAGATGGTTAAAATGTTTATGATGGTTATTAATTTTGGACTTTGTGTCCTACTTCCATTGAAAAAGATTGTGCAAACCCCTTTCTGTTATGAATGATGAAAAATTCTCCTGAGTGTGCTGTCTTTTTACCTAGGAGGACTCATAAAACAGGATTTTCATGTTGCTAGTGTTGGCAGAATTGGCAAAGTGGCCGCATCAATGGACTCAAGCATGGCAACAATTGTGAGGTTGGCCCAGGATCGGGCAGTGTTTCGTTCCGTTGTTCATAGGGTCGCTATGAGTCGGTACCCACTTGATGGCACCTAACAACAATAAGTGTTCTTGAGTTATTCGGTTTTTTCTTTCAATGAAAATAGTTATTTTTTTTTATTATATAATTATTTACACGTCCTTGCTAAAATACAGGAAATAAGAGGAAGAATGTGAAAATCACCTGAAAATTTTCACCATGAGATAAAACATCATTTGGTAACTATTCTTATATGCATCATTTTATACATATATGCACTTGCATATGTGTAATTTTATATAATCCTTGCTTTGTATCGTGGAACCTCTTATTTTTTTAAGTCATTTGTTTTGTTTTGTTTTCCATTCCTTCTTGCCTCCCTGTTTCTCCTGCAGTCAGCCCAGTTAGCCAGCATGTTTCCTGTGCTGTGCTCTGTAGACTTTTCAAGGCTATGACCTTTCAGAAGCAGACTGTCACGCCTGTCTTCTAAGGCACCTCTGGGTGGGTTCAAACCACCAAACTTTTGGCTACTATTCGAGCACTTCACCATTTATGCCAACCAGGGACTCCTGTGTATATGTTATTGTTAAGTGTTGTTGTCGAGTTCTGACAACACATAGTGACCCTGTGTAGGATTTCCGAGGAGAAGCTGCTGAGCTTGAACCGCTGACCTTGTGGTTAACAGTCTATTGCTTACCCTACAGTGCCACACCAGGAATATACATAGATAGATATATAGACTCATGAGTTTGAACCACTGACCTTGTGGTTCAAACTAACCTTATGGTGGAGTGCTTATCCCACAGTGCCGCCCAATATATGTATATTGTTGTTAAGTGTGGTCGAGTTGGTTCTGACTCAGTGACATTGTATAGGGTTTCTGAGAAGTGGCTGGTGCGTTTTGAACTGCTGACCTTGTGGCTAGTAGTCCAGCGTTTAGTTTATCATACAACGCCACACCATATATATGTATTTACACAAACACAAATATATATACAGATATACACAAATGCACACATAAATATATGTATGTGTATATATATTGTTAGGTGCCATCGAGTCGGCACACGCACATATATGTGTGTGTATATATGTATATATATATAAAATATATATCTTTTTATTAAGTGTTGTCGAGTCGGTTCCAACCCATAGCGACTCTGATTAGGGTTTCCAAGGAGCATCTGGTGAGCTTGAACCGCTAACCTTGTGGATAAAACCGACCTTACAATTCAGTGCATTAACCCACAGCGCCACACCAGGACTCCAACATATATCATGGCGTGGCACTGTAGTATAAGCACTGGACTGCTAACCACAAAGTCAGCAGTTCAAACCCACACTCACTTCTTGGAAACCCTTTACAGGGTTGCTATGAGTCAAAACTGGCTCGATGTCACTTAACAACATTGTATACATATACAAATGTATTTATATTGCAAAGTGGCAGCATCAGTGGGCTCAAGCATGACAACAATAGTGAGGTAGGCCCAGGATCGGGCAGTGTTTTGTTCTGCTGTGCGTAAGGTCGCTATGAGTCAGTACCAACTAGAGGGCACCTAACAGCAACAACATTATATATAAATAAGGAGTTCTGGTGTGACACTGTAGGATAACACTGAACCACTACATGATTGTTTCTGTGTCTTGTATGAATTTGTAGGTAAGTCATTACAGGTGCAAACAGTTCTTATTTAGCTTTACTTTAGTATAAGAAAAGGCTTGGGGCCTTTTCTTTCTTAAAGCTTTTATTGTGAATTCATTGATGGTTTACATGGGAGAACGTGGGTTGTGCATTCAACCTATCGTATTTCGTTTCATTGCAATGATTACAATCCTATGCATCACCGGTTATGAGTATTTGCTTCTATTCCGTATGTTTTTGTTTTTTATGATGTAAACAAAACCATACAGGAATATATAATCGTTTAAACAACCAAAGGACACATTCTGCAAGCCAGACTCCTGGCCGCCAGCACACAGCCTTTCTCTGTCCATGAATCTAGAGTCCTCAGCTGCTCTATCTCTCCATGTCATCATCTCTGCCTCCATCTCTGGTGTCGCTGCTTCTCTGTGTAACATCCCACGTTCTGCTCATGCTCTTCTCTCTTGATGGTTCTAGAGTCCACTGTACCTGGAATGTAGGGTTAACTACTCTCCCCCTTTTTGTGATACAACTTCTACCTTTAGAGTTGTGACAATCTCAGTTAATCATGATAACAATTACTATTCAATCACAAAAATCTTATCCCCATCTTTTTTCACCAAACCCGTCTAGACATGATGAAAACTATTCAGTAGGGAGTCTACCTTCCCCCCCGCACACTCTGAAACTAAACTCCCTCTTGAAAACTTGTAAGCCAGCCACTATGTGCCTTGATAGCCCCCCCCCCACCTCATTTTTGGTTACCAATGTCTGTGTTGCCTATCTTTATCAATCCTGTGTACAGAGGGGCGAGGCTTGATCCTTGATGTGAAGACTCCTTCCCTCTTGGTTGGTATTTAGAGCTACTCCATCCATAAGTATACATCAGGTACATCACAATGTAGCAATTTAACTGTTGAGGCCTTTTCCATAATCTACAAACTGTACATGCAGCAGGTAAAGGTGATTGTGATGAAGAGTTTGTTGAGAATGGCGGTGTGGTGATAGTGTGCCATCAATCAGTTCTGACTCATAGTGACCCCGTATAAGGTTTCTAAGGCTGTAAATCTTTGTGGAGTGACTGGTGGATTTGAACTGCTGGCCTCCTGGTTAGCAGCCCAACACATAACCCACTACACCACTAGGGCTCCTTTGTTGATAATTGTTGTTGTTAAGTGCTACTGAGTTAGTTCTAACTCATAGCAATCCTCTTTAGGGCTTCTGTGGATCAGCTTATGAGTTTAACCACTGACATTATGGTTAGCAGACCAGTACTTATCCTACAACGCCACACCAGGACTCCTTGTTGAGAGTTGCTATTGTTAAGTGATGTCGAGTCGATTTCAACTCATAGTTAATTCTGTATAGGGTTTCTAAGGAGCAGCTAGTGGGTTTAAACTATCGACCTTGAGGTTAGCAGTTTAGTACTTATCCTACAGTGCCATATTGTTTTTGTTAAGTGCTGTCGAGTCAGTTCTGACCCATAGGGAGCCTGTATGGAGTTTCCAATGAGTGTCTGGTGAGCTTGAACTCCGACTTTGTAGTTCAAACCAACCTTGTAGTCCAGCACATTAACCCACAGCACCACAGTACCATATGGATTTGTAAATGATTTAAAAGTGAGGGAAATGTTACATAACATTAAAAGGAATCCTGGTGTGGCGCTGCAGGATAATGCGCTAGACTGTAATGTTGGTTTGAACTGCAAGGTCCATGGTTCAAACTCATCAGACTCTCCTTGGAAACCCTACACTGGACTGTTATGAGTCAGAACCAATTCGATGGCACTTAGCAACAACAACAAAGGGAAAACAGGAGTTATCTGTAAGTCGAACTGTCATAGTGCAGGGACTTCCTGACTT